CATTATATCTGGATGTAATTGGATACCTTCTGAACAGTTTTCTTGGATTTGGGTTGCTAATTCATTTATGCAACATGCAAATAGAAAAAGGCTTAATATACAACCTTGCCTGACTCCTAATTGGCTCACAACTGTATCTGATAATTCTTTATTACTCCTTACACACATTTGCATATTTTCATATATACTCTGGAGTGATTTTCCCATTTTGCAACTGATACCTTGCTTGTCTAAGAGATTCCATAATTTATTTCTGTATATTGAATCGAACGCCTTGGAAAAATCTACAAGTAAGGCATAGAAATTTTGTCCCTTTAAATTAAGATATTTCTGAATATTAGAGTGAGTGAGTGAATTAAAATTTAACGTCACATCGACAGCATTTCAGCCATAGAGTGACAAGAAAAAATTGGTTTAACTACAAGAAATATCTGTCACAATGGACAGTAAAATATTGACAAGTCATCACAATTTGAGTGATGACTCAAATGAAATATCAATATTACATGTAATGCCATTAAAACACGAGCTATAGACCACCAGTCACCAAAGCTAGACGCCCATACTAGGGATCATGGGGACTTACAGTACTTCGGCTTCCTGCATGAACCCCAGTAGGATTTAAGCCATAGCTTTGGTCACTGGCATTTGGCGGAGAAGCTAGCCATAAATTAAAACATGTCAAAATATGCGAGCATAAACTTCTGGTATCTGCAAAGTACTGCAATATACCATGTAGACTAACATGCTATCATCAGAGGACTATCTTTTTATAATACTTCAACCCCATTGAATGACACTGCTATAATAACAGTAGTAATCAATTACTGGTACATCAACCATAGTTAAAATACTTTCATTCAAAAGCTACTGTACAATACTGTTTCTGTTAAAGAAATTAGAATCAAATGAGAATTTACGTTGCTAAAACGATCTTATAAGTTTTGTGAAGTATCCCTTGCGAGAGAAAGGTTTACGCAGTGAAGTAAATAGTGTTTGACTGTGAATCTCTCATCACAAGGGAGACAAAATGAAGGATCCTCTCTCTTCAACAAATATGTATGGGTAAAACGAGTATGACCAATTCGACATCGTCTCATTACAACTTCATTATGTCTGGACTGACATAATTTCAATAAGTTTGTTTATACCTACTTGGGCGTTCATCTTTGTTTGCATTAAATATTTAATATACTATTTGATAACAGTTTTAAAATCAGAATATGGTATCAAGAGTGGAGAAACGGGCTTTTCAAGAGCTGCTCTAGCTGCAGCATCAGCTTTTGTATTGTCAACTATGTCGACCTGACTCGGTAACCAGCAAAAAACGATGTCGAACTGGCCAATGGAAAGATCATTGTACAACTCAATGTGTGGATGACTATGACAAACATTGTTTCAGTGCCTGAAGGCATGGCAGTGAATCAGAAAAGATAATAAATTGTTTACTATCTGACTGATGTTCAATATACTCCAATGCCGTCAGAATATCCTTAGCTTCAGCAGTAAATATTAAGCTATTATCAGGTATTCTTAAAGATATTGTTTTGGATACAATGATTGCGGCACTTGAAACCTTGCCACCATCCTTGGATCCATCCGTAAATACATAATGATGAAAATACTATTTCATTCTCAATTGCTGATATTCCTGTTTATAAATTAATTGATTTGTGTCTGATTTTTTAAATTGAGTTAGAGTTAGCTCCACATTTGGACTGGAGGAGGAGGAGTAGGTAACAGCTGAAATGGCGCAGTTATATCAAGGTAAAGGTTGGCGGTTGAAATGTGTGGTTTCAGCCGTATACCGATTGGAGGAACTAGATTAGTATTTTTCTGAAATAGTGCCTCATACTGTGGGCTTACAACTGACTCATAAGCGGGGTTTGGTGGATTCGGACGCAATTTAGTAATAAACTGAAGACACAATTTAATACGAGAGACGGTTTAGCAGCTTCCACATATAGACTGTCACTTGGAGAGGTCCTAAAAGCTCCTATACAGAGTCTCAGGCCTTTGTGGTGTATTGGATCTAATACTTCCAAATGACTTTTACATGCTCCACCATATATGATGGAGCCATAATCCAGTTTCAAGCGAATGAGGGATCTGTATAAGTGAAGGGGGGGAGACTGATTCGGTCCCCACTTGGAATAGGACACGACTTTTAATAAATCCAGTGCCTTCAGACACTGTATTTAATGTGTGGCTTAAAGGTAATGTGACGGTCAAAGATTACACACAAAAACTTGCCTACTTGTACTATCTTTATTGGGGTACATGTACCAACTAAATATATCTGGGGGTCACTATGCGGTTTATATTTCCGGCAGAAATGAATGCAATTCGTTTTTGATTTTAAAAACGTAGAACCATTACTCTGCGACCAAGCATGTATTTTATTGAGACAGAGTTGCAACTGTCTCTGAGTAGTCTGCATATTTTTTTCCTGGACATGACACATCAAATTCATCCACAAACAAAGACCCATCAACAGAGTCATTAAAACTTTCGATATGTTATTAGATTTTATGCTAAACAACGTTACCGACAATATGCCACCTTGCGGAACACCCTGATCTTGATCATAAATGTCTGAAAATGTGGATCCCACATGTACTTGGAAATGTCTATTTGTTAAAAACTGTGATATGAAATCAGGTATATGGCCTCTCAATCCCATCTCATGGAGGTCCTTAAAAATCCATATTTTCAGGTGGCATCATAAGCTTTTTCTAAGTCGAAAGAAAATCGATACGGCATGTTGGTTATTGACTTTAGCGTTTTGCATTCTGCAGCGTGCCATGTTTTTTCATGTTTGCTATTAGTGTGACTGACTTTTTTCATGTCGCAAGCAGCTGTGCAACGAGCTTCAGTTAACAAATCAATGCTTCATCTATATCAGTAAACGCTGAATCCAGAGACTCACTAAGTAGTCCTTGTACATTGTCTAATAGAATAGTTTGTTTAAAGTGAACTAATTTATCATGTTCCCAAATTAATCTAAAGGACTTCTTTTCATTGCATTTGGGTTACTCATATGAATGAAGCGCACGTAAACACACAGTGAGAGAGAGTTGATCAGATTCTGTGCCGGAGAGATTGATAAGCCACGAACAGTGTTAAACAGTGATGACGTCGCTATAGCATAGTCTACTTCACTTGTGCCATTAACACCAATATAAGTAGAATATCTACTTCAGCATCCAATCCACATCGAACATTCATTATGTTGATATTCAACACCAAGCACAAATTGAGAAGACACTTTCCAAAATTATTTACAATTGAATCAGTAGAAAACCTCTGTTAAATCATTCTAAAAGAAAATGCCACATTGAAATTTCTCCGCCTTCTGTGTATTCAATTATATCATCTTCAGCAAGGTCTAGGTCTGTACCTGCACGAGCACTAAAGTCCCTTTAGCACAAAATATGTACCTCTTGCGTATTAGACATTAAGTCTAACAAATTATCTTGAAATAAACTGATACCATTTTTACAAAGTCGTAGATCCCTCTGGGTGAATATAGGCACAGGCATGTAACAGATCAATGTCAAGTTTAAAGAGAGTCATGTCAAAGTTGAGAAAAACACAATTTTCAGTAAGTTTAGACCTCAAAATGTACTTCCTCAAATGTTGTGTTACCACGTTCCACCAGAGTCTGCCACCTGTAGCCTAGCCCAGAAATCTGTTGCGAAAATGCTGTGCTTTCAAACATGTATAACTCGTCCACAAATAGACTGTACTACATGAATAATATAAATCAGTTTAGAAGAAGGAAATGTCTATGCAGCCATTTGGATAATTTTAGATAAACCATTCACAAGCTTCGTCAACCACCAAAGAAGTGTCAATACTTGTGTCCACAAATAACTGGTTTCACACGCCTTGTCATAGATTCGATCAGGCGTTGTACAACAGGGGAATGCCCCGCCACACCTCTTCTGTTAATTGACATAAGGTCAAATGGAGAGGGCGTCGAGATTTTGTCTTAACTGAACCGTGACATTTCACCCCAGGGTCAACGTTCTGTGCAGATACCGTGTAGGCTCGTGTATTGTTTTGGGTGCTTTGTGGTTACAAGTGGTGGCTATGGGAAGAGTTTCTCTTGTGATTGCTTAGGAAAAGGTTTTAGGATCTGAACTGATAATTTGATCATTCAGGCCTCGATATTGTTTTTCTATCTGCTTTTGTGTAGTTGAATTTCGGATCTTGGGGAGTTTGGTGTGAAATTTATACCAATGCTGATGTTGATTGAGATGGGGGAGGTGGTCTCTTCCTAATGGATTGTTCAATAATTAACTGGTGGTTCAACTGTGGGGAGGCATACTTATGTCTCCTAAAAAGATGATCTTTTGTGTGATAGGTTTGCCAGGATTTCCAGGTCAGGGGGGGCGGTGGGGTAGCCTAGTGGTTAAAGCGTTGGCTCGTGACGCCGAAGACCCGGGTTCGAATCCCCACATGGGTACAATGTGTGAAGCCCATTTCTGGTGTCCCCCGCCGTGATGTTGCTGGAATATTGCTAAAAGCGGAGTAAAACCAAAACTCAGTCAGTCAGTCAGTCCAGGTCAGGGTTGTTGAAAGGGTTAGTGGTTTGGGGATTTGTGTTCACTAGTGTAACATTTGCTTTTCCAAGTGGGGTTTGTTTGTTGGTAGGTGTTTATAACTGAGTGAGTCGTGTATCAATAATGTTAGGCCCCCATGTGCACGTGGAGCGTTTGGATTAATTAATGTCCGTCTAGTGTGTTCGTCTTGTGTCGTGTAGTTTGGTGTAGTGATGTTTTTGTTCTTCGGTGTATATTGTGGATAAAGCTGGTTTAGTTAATTGAATGACTTGGAGCTTGTGAGTAACCTTGTGTAGACATCGCCAAGGCTGTCAAACCCAGTCGAGGAGATAACATAGGCCGGAGAACCGCCGGTAAGGCAGTGATGCAGAAACCAAAATGTGTTTCGTTATAAAGCGAACATTATTTACAGCCTCAATGTAAAAAACTCAAATGTAACTATCAAAGTAAAGCGCTTAATACGAGTGTGCCACGGAAGATTTACATTCAGGTATGTACAGATATTGAACGGGCAAAACTAATTATAAATGCACGAGAAATATCTAAGTGTGTCAGATAGTTTCAACAATACGTTACAACAACATGTTCAGTAGCTAGACGTACACACATACAAGATAAGACAAGAAGTGTAAGACACCAGCGACGTTTGTCCGCATTTATCCAAACCGACATTTACACTCACGCACACGCACGCATTCACACATGTACGAACGCACACCAGCGCCATTACAAGTGAGTGAGTGAGTTAAGATTTTAAGTCACATCGGCAATATTTCAGCCATATCGTGACTTAAGCAAGTTCTAAATATATCGACAATTTAAGTGAAATTATAAAATTCTGCCGACGAAGGACAGTAAAATAACTAGATTATCACAGATATAGATATAAAACTAGTAACAAAAATCTAAAACATTTGAACTATACAAGACGATACAATATAAAAACAGGCTATTGATCGCCAACAACTGAAGGTAGATCACCATACTAGGGACCATGGGGACTTACAGTACATTTGCTTCCTGCATGGACCCTAGCTGGATTTACACCATCCCTTCAGCCATTGGCGACAGAAGAGAAACCTAGCCATAAATAAAAAGTACACATATTCTACGATTAAAAACCTGGTACACTTAAATTGACTAAATGTTTTGGGACTTACGTACCCTCTCAGGAGGACAATAATTTTACGCTACTTCAACCCCCTTTGAGGGTACAGCCACTAACAATATCAGTTACTAATTTAAACTACCAATAATAAAATATATATATATTTACAAATCAGTTAGCAAGTCTAATTGTTTTAAAAGGCAATAATTAAATGAGAACTTATATGACTAAAAGATCCTTCATAGTTCGTGATTTGAAATAGATATCCCTTGTGATGGAATATTCAACACAGTCAAGCAAGACATGCTTGACCGTGATTCGTTCATCACAAGGGATACAAAACGGAGGATCCTCACCTTTTAATAGGTACTCATGCGTATATCTTGTGTGGCCAATACGACATCGTCGTATGATGACCTCTTCAAATCTGGACTGACAACCCAAGTAAGTGTAACCGATATAGGGTTTTATTGCATGTAATTTATTGATACCTACTTGGGTGTCCCACTTCTTTTGCATCAGATCACGGATGTAAGATCTAATACAAGCTTTGTAATCAGAGTATGGGATCAGAAGTGGTGTCACAGATTTGTTGAGGGCTGCCTTAGCAGCAATATCAGCCATCGTGTTCCCAGAAATGCCAACGTGGCTGGGTAACCAACAAAAGACGATGTCGCATTGGCCAGTAGCAAGCTCATTATACAATTCAATAATTTCTAATAAAAGTGGATGTTTGCAAGAAAGATTTTTTATAGCCTGAAGACACGAAAGAGAATCTGAAAAGATGATATATTGTTTATATTTACGGTGTTTATTAATATATTTAAGAGCTGTTAGTATTGCGTTTGCTTCTGCTGTGAAAATTGAACTGTCATTGGGTAGTCTGAAGATATTGTTTTGGACCCAATGACAGTGGCACAAGCAACCGCGCCACCATCCTTGGATCCATCTGTATATAAGGATTTATAGTTATTATATTTATTTCTTAATTGACTAAATTCTTGTTTATACTGTAAATCATTAGTTTCGGATTTTTTAAATGTGGTTAATGTTAAGTCAACGTCTGGCCTCACCAATTGCCAAGGAGGAGAAGAAAGAAGACGAGAAGGAGATATATTCTCCAGCTCAATGCCAGCAGCAGAAAGGAATGGTTTAATTCTGTGCCCAAGAGGCGGAACAAGAGAAGACTTTTTGTTATACAAATCCTCATAAAGAGGAGTGAAGATGCAGTGAAACGCAGGATTGGACTCGTTAGAATATAGCTTCGTAATATACTGTAATGATAATTTTATACGGCGTTGGGTAAGAGAAGGCTCATCAGCCTCGACGTAGAGACTGTCAACAGGTGATGTTCTGAAGGATCCAAGACAAAGTCTCAGACCTTGATGGTGGACTGAATCTAATAGTTTTAGGTTGCTTTTGCAGGCTCCACCATAAACGATGGAGCCATAATCAAGCTTCGAGCGGACAAGTGATCTGTAAAGGTGTAGGAGCGTAGCTTGATCCCCTCCCCACCTTGAATTAGACACGACTTTCAATAAATCGAGTGCCTTCAGGCATTTAGTTTTGAGAGATTTGATATGCGGAAGAAAAGTTAAATGGGAGTCGAAAATGAGACCTAAGAACTTGGCCTCCTTTACAACCTTGATGGGAATGCCATTTAAAAACAGTTCTGGGTCTTTATGTGGTTTATATTTACGGCAGAAATGTATGCAATTAGTTTTTGATTTAGAAAATTTAAAGCCGTTTTCAAGACACCATTTATGTATTTTATTTAAACACAACTGCATTTGCCGTTCAATAGTATGCATATTTTTACCGCGACAAGAAATATTAAAATCATCCACAAAAAGTGATCCATCAATTGAATCATTTAAAACCTTGGATAAACTGTTAATCTTAATGCTAAATAATGTGACAGACAAAATACTTCCTTGTGGAACACCCTGATCCTGATTATAATGGTCAGACAGGGTTGAACCCACTCGGACTTGAAATTGCCTGTCTTTAAAAATTGTGATATAAAAAGAGGCAAACGGCCTCTCAAACCAAAATCATGTAAATCCTTCAAAATGCCATGCTTCCAGGTGGTATCGTATGCTTTCTCGAGATCAAAGAATATCGATACTGCATGTTGTTTATTGACTATTGCATTTTGACGAAGGACTCTAAACGTACCAAATGATCAATGGTACTACGATTTTTCCTGAAACCACATTGGATATTGGTGATAAGGTTATTGGTTTCAAGATACCATGTTAACCGATTGTTTACCATTCGTTCCATGGTTTTACAGACACAACTCGTTAAAGAGATTGGCCTGTAATTAGACGGATCAGTATGATCCCGGCCAGATTTTTGGAATGGGGACTACAATGGCATTACGCCAGGAAGTTGGGAAATTCCCTGTAGTCCATATCATATCAAATATATTTAGCAGTGTTTCCAAACACGATTCGGCAAATGCTTCAGGAGCTGATAGTGGATATCATCAGCCCCTGTTGCTGTATCATGAGCTTGCTCAAGAGCGGTATGTAGCTCATGAAGTGAAAATAGTTCATTATAATCTTCACCATTGTCTGAGTTAAAATTTATTCTTTTCTTCTCCTGTTGTTTCTGGTGTTTTGAAACTCAGGGACATAATTTGATGATGAAGAATGTTTGGCAAGCGTTTCGCCAAGTTTATTTGCTATGTCAGTTTTATGAGTTAAGAGATTATCACCATCCTTCAGATGGTGTACAGTAGATTTAGAACCTTTGCCCTTTATTCTTTGGACCATGTTCCACACCTTGGACATAGGTGTACGTGAATTTATTTTGGAAACATAGTTCCTCCAAGACTGACGCTTATTCTGTTTAAATGCGCGTCGAGCCTTGGCATTTAAAATTTTAATTTTGTCTAAATTATGGACAGTAGGATGTTTGCGGAAAAACTTTTCAGCTTTCTTCCTACTTTTTCTGGCCTGTTTACACTCATTAGTAAACCATGGTTTACGAATGTGTGGAATTGCAGAGGACTTGGGGATAGCGTGGTCAGCAATGTCATTGAGTATATCTGAAAACAGCTGTATAGGATCTTTGCTGTTCGCAAAAACATCATGTTTTAAATGATCATCACATAGTGTCTTATATAACGACCAATCAGCCCTGGCAAAGTTCCTTCTGAATACAGGTGGATCATCCCCAGGGCTGATTGTTTTGAGAATGGTGGGGAAGTGATCACTCCCACACAGGTCATCATGAACCATCCAGTCAAATTCATTATATAAGGTTGAATCGGTGAGTGACAGATCCAGGGAAGAATATGTTCCCGTAGCTGGATGTAAATAAGTGGCTGAATCATCATTGAAAATACAGAGATTATTATCTGATATAAATTCCTCGAGGATTTTACCTTTATTGTTGGTATGGACACTTCCCCAAAGCGGATTGTGTCCATTCAGATCGCCCATGATGATACATGGCTTTGGAAGCTGATCATACAGATTCTGAAGATCCGACAGACGGACATCAGAAGATGGAGGATATATAAGCTGCACAGAGTCAAAGCAATGTGCAGGGTCAGTCGAACAGCTACAGTCTGAAGATTAGTATGAAGGGGGACAGGGCTATGTATTATACCCTGTCGTACTAAGATAGAAGTACCTCCAGTTGCTTTATCTCCCGGGGGAGAAAAGGAATGATAATCGCTGTATTGTCTCAAAGTAAAGTTATCTGTAGGTTTTAAATATGTCTCTTGGAGACAGAGTGCTGACGGCTGAATATCTTGTATCAGCAGTTGTATCTCATTGAAGTTATTTCGTAGTCCTCTGCAATTCCATTGCATTAGAGTAGACAATTGAGTCATGGCGGCTCAATTGGTGATCTCTCACGTGAATGCGAGGAGGATAAGCTCCTCCGCCTGTCCTGTGAGGACGGAGTAACCTCCATATCTAGAGGTCCAAATGAATTTTCAAGAAGTACCTCTGGAGGTGAAGGGACAACAGGTTTGTCTCTATTAGTCCTTTTCCTTTTTCCCTTTGGAATTCTGTGCGGCTGGTTGGGAAACAGATATTTGTGAGTGAGACTCAGATTCGATTTCATCAGTCTGAGAACCAGACGTAGACTGAGTGACAGTGGCAGTAGGTTTATTGGCTGACGCTGAAGAGATAGGGTTTGATGACTTGACCCAAGTCAAGTCAGTCTGACACGCAGTAGAGGACACTGCCGCAGAGCGAGTGACTGCAGCAGCGTAGGTAATGTTTGAAGGAGTTGAAATTTGATTGAACATTTTTGGCATCCAGGTAGGAAACATTTTTCTCACATTTTAATTTCATAATGTGAGATTCTCGCTGCCATACAGGGCATGATTTAGAAGAAGCAGGGTGTGCACCATCACAGTTAACGCACTTGTAATCCTTGGTGCAGTCGGTACCGTCATGGCGATCGCCACAACGATGACATGCTACAGAGTTTCGGCAAGATTGTGAGCCGTGTCCGAAATGTTGACATTTATAACATCGGAGGGACTGGGTACATAGACATCCACCCGATATTAAAGTAGCCTGCTTTAATCGATGTTGGAAGAGACGAACGAGAAAAAGTCAAAAGATAAGTATTTGTCTTGGTAAGGATGCCTTCTTTCCTGAAGCTGAATCGTTTTACTGCTGAAACGCCCTGATCTTGCAATTCGGAAGCAATGTCCTCCTCTGACATATCAGCCAGGCATCTTGCCCTGTCGCGGATGATGCCACGACAAGAGTTCAGTGTCCTGTGCACAGACACAGCAACCTCTATATTTGCAAAAGTCTTGATAGACAACAGATTGAGAGATTGCTGCCTCCGTGCACACTCCACAAGAAGCGAGCCACTACGGAGACGCGTAACATTGTGAACTTCTCCACAGATGCCAGAGATAGCCTTTGAAATGGCGAACGGGTTTAGTTTTATTGGGAGAAAGTCTGCAGCTTCAATTACAAGAAATCTTGCCCAGGAGTCAGTATTTGTTGAATTAGTTTCATTAGGACGATCTAGTTCGTCCAATCGTCTCTTCTTTTCGTTCCTAGTTGAACCAGCTTGTTGGGGTAACATGGTGAAAGAAAATATATTCGACACCCCTGCTCCCCACCCACCATGGAGTGTCAACAAGGACAGTGTCAATATGCATCGGATATCCAAGATGCTGACACCAGGGATACAGGGTGTTATACTCCAGAGAAAACGACACAAATAGCTGCATTTGTCAACCAATTTCATGCCCGACTGGTTCGGCCCAAGACAAGAAATTTGAGACATACATCATTTGGAGGTCATTATCACTAGATTGGCCCATGAGCCACCGCCTTCTGGCATAGGACTCTAGGCAAATAGATAGAATAACATAATTTTGAAACACAACATTCAATATCAACATTATATAAATGTACATGAATATAAATTTGAATGTTTCCATGCACAGGGCATGGCGTGACCAGCCGATTGGTTGAACCGGGCCAGTTCAACCACCCGTCTAGGTGAAGTAAGGGGCGAAGTGGTGTGTTGGGCAAAGGAACACTGTTCCTGGCCCCAGGCCCTCAACCACCAGTGCCCTCAACCGACCAGCAACCCACGGCAAACGTCCTCCACCGTCCACACGGGGCGCAACGCCACGGCAAACGGGTTGGTGGACCAAACATATTTACACCTTTTGGGTCCACAACGGGGGTTGAAGGGCATCTTAGCATTTCCACCCAGCACGCCACCACGAGGAGGTGGTTATTACTCCACCCTTCATGGACACAGGGGCGGGTGCATAGCGGGTTGAAGTTGCTGTTAGTTAATTGTCTGTATACCTCCCCTACGTCAGATAAACCCGTGTGGGTGAAGTAATCAAAGCTACACGTTATATGCGACCGCACTACATATCTGCCCTGTGTGTATTGCCAATATACATGTGTAGCAATCATATTGTGGGTAAGCGGGCTATGTTGAGAGACAGCGTGCTGACATACTTTTCCTCTGGCTAGTGTACCATGCAGGTTGTAGCTGGAGGCATTCACCTATTGCTTTCAATGTTGACATTGCCGAGCATTGAGAGGCTGAATTTCTACTTCGTGTCATAAGACACTGATCCACGTACGAACTGGTGCACACATTCACGTATAAACTAATGAAAAGGGTGGGCCACATTTGTCACTTCAGCAAGAGTCGGCAGTTTGATAAACACAACGGAAATGGGAATTTGGCATGTACAACTTAGCAATACATTAAGAATCACACGACCAAAAGCCGGGTTGTACACCATTGAAATAAACAGAAATACAGTTAGGAAATACATCATGCTATAACCATATATGTGTACGTTTTCCGAATCTGTCCAACAATCCTGACACGCTTAAAATAGCTGTGGAAATCCTTGCTTTCACCATAAGTCTTGACATGCATTACCAGAGGATCATCCGATAAATAAATATATGCACAATAAAATTCTATCATGAATTGATTGGAATATATGAACGATTAAGAGAGGAACGAGGGTGGGCTGTGTTATCAGACATGGCCCTTCTGTTCAGGCGGTCAAGACTCTAGATGTCTTGTCTGGTCCAATCAACTACTCCAAAGGAATAGGAAAGGACTTACACAGCAAAAGTATTGGTAGCTTTGACCTTGTTTCGGGTTTTAGCTCTGAAATCCAGATTTTCTTTAAGCGTGATTTGTACTCGGCCCGAAGTTTCTCTTGAATCTGGGCATTCTGGAGCTGGTCTCGAACTTGCATTCCAAGATAGGTGTAGGCCTGATCTTCCACAAGATGCTCAATAACTCCTCACCCCTGTAACTTGACCGATCCATCATTAATTACTTTGCCTCGTTTCAAATGAAGAGTATAATTACATTTGTCAAGTCCAAATGTCCTGTCAATATCGTTACAAAAGGACTCGAGAAGGAGAACCTGTTCTTTCAAATTGGTATCTCCTTTCGGATGGAGCTTGATGTTATCCATGTAAAGTGATTGAGTGAATGAGTGAGTTTAGTTTTACGCCGCACTCAGCAATATTCCAGCTATATGACGGCGGTCTGTAAACAATCGAGTCTGGACCAGACAATCCATTGATTGACACCATGAACTTTGATCTGCGCAATCGGGATACGATAACATGTGTCAACCAAATCAGCGAGTCTAACCACCCGATCCCGTTAGTCGCCTCTTACGACCAGCATGGGTTACTGAAGATTCATTTTAACCCGTACCTTCACGGGTATCATCCATGTAAAGAGTAAGGGTTGGGGACCTGAGCTGGGGAGGTTCCAGTATGGTAACCCTCTTCCTTATTGAGCAGAAAGCTCAACGAAATTAAAAAAGCAAACGATTAAAGGAGTTCCCCTGGAATACTCCCCTTATGATTGGAATAGATTCCTTAATTTGCACCTGCCCTTGCGAGTACATCTCAAGTTGAGTCGCCCAGCCACCCATTAAAGACTGCAGTAAATCAAGTAGTCGCTTAGGGCGGTCAATACATTGAAGAGACTTCAGAATCCATTCATGAGGGATAGAGTCGTATGTTGTTGTTTTTGTAGTCAATCCAGCATATGAAGAAGTGGCGGTAATATGTTTAGCCTGCTCAAATAATTTTTTGGACGAGAAGTTGATCCTTGCACCCCCAACATCCCTTGCTTGCTCCCTTCTGCTCTCTGTAAATTATGTCATTGGAAGAGCAGTAAGATAATACGAGGTTTGTCAAACACCATGTGCATATTTTATATTGCGTATTCAAACATATGATAATCCATTATGTTTTACAGATTAAAATGAAAAAAAAACAACGACAAAAAACAACACATAATGAATTATCCATTATGTTTCTTTTGTGTCGTTGTTCCATACTATGTTGTATCAAAACTATATATAAAAATAAGCAATATTTAAAAAGTTGAGGTTTAATGGGTAGGCCCGTTCTGTACATCTGTCCGCAAGTTGATCCTGAGTATGACTTGCAGCCTGTCGACTTCCCCAGCCGTGGCAACTGCTCACAGTCTCGAGGGTAACATCAGCTAATATCACGCTGCTTAGCGGAGCGTTTATGTTAATGTTATGACACGTCGTCCCGGTGTGGAAGAACAGTCAACAGTGATGCAAGTCGTGTATAGACTTACCACTTATGGGGTAGGAAGGTTGTATGTAGCCGGGTCATTGTTGTTGGTCTCTGACCTATATTCAATCGACAAAACCTGTTTCTGGTATGTCCTGGTGTGGGAGAACAGTCCGCAGTGATGCAAGTCGTGTATAGACTTACAACTTATGGGGTAGAAAAGGAGTATGTGGTCGGGTCATTGTTGTTGGTCACTGACATAAATTCAATCGACAAAACCTTTTTCATAATTATACGAAATCTCTGCTTAAAACTACTTTATAACATCTTGTATTCGTGTTTATATTTCTGTTTGTATCCATTGCCAGTCTATCATCCAACATTAACCAGCTCATACACATACCACAACCTTTTGATAGGGTAGGCGTTAAGGCCTTCATGAGAACCAGCCGCCTCACTCTCTTTGAACGTAAATAAGGAAAACGGATGGTTTCATTATAGTGAGTGAGTTTGATTTTACGCCGCTTTTAGCAATATTCCAGCAATATCACGGCGGGGGACACCAGAATGTGGCTTCACACATTTTGCCCATGTGGTGAATCGAACCCGGGTCTTCGGCGTGACGAGCGAACGTTTTAGCCACTAGGCTATCCCACCGCCCGGTTTCATTATAACCAAGCATTAAAACTCTAAGTAACATTACAATGAATGATGAACAATACATTTGATATTTTACCTTCATGCTTGTTTGTTGTTTAACGCCGCACACTACAACATTCCAGCTATGTGGTGGTGGTCTGTAAATAATCGAGTATGGACCAGACAATCCAGTGATCAACAGGAAAAGCATCACTCTATGCAATTGGGATACGATGACATGTGTCAAACTACCACCGGACCCCGTGGGTCGCTTCTTACGACCAGCATGGATTGCTTAAAACCAATGAAAACCTGGCACTTCTCGAGTCCTGCCTTTATGTGACTTTAGAGGTGATGACATATTTACTGCTTTTCTTTTCTTCCTCTTCAGCCAACAAGAAGTGTGTATTCATGGCTGCTGTCATGATCTTACTAGTGGTGATTTTCTACGCATCCCATTCAAGGCAAAATGTCGTGGCGTATATGGGCAAGCTGACAGAAGGTTCCGGTACTGTTATTATTATTATTGTCGATGTTATTTGAATAAATTGACTATTCCCCTGATTATAGGTCACGGTTAAGAGACCCAGCATGCGTCTAGAAAATCCGAAATTTGAAAAGTAAAATTTCAGTATGAAGAATTGTCTTTCTTTTTCTTTTAGTTCAAAAAGTGGACGGGGCCCATAGCAATCTATTGAAGCTTTACCAGAAGAAACTTGGAGGTACGTCTGTAATAGGCAATCGTCGTGTGTATCGCATATTTAGTTGAAGAGCAAGTATCATAATGTTTGGCAATATATCTGGAATGAGATGAAGAAGCACATTGTGGGTTAGCACCTTAAATATGAGATGAAGCAGCATAGTGTGTGATGGCACATTTAGTATGAGAGGAAGCAGCATAGTGTGTGATGGCACATTTAGTATGAGAGGAAGCGGCTTGGTGAGTGAGGGCACATTTAGTATGAAAGGAAGTAGCATAGTATGTGATGGCACATGTAGTATGAGAGGAAGCAGCATAGTGTGTGATGGCACATTTAGTATGAGAGGAAGCGGCTTGGTGAGTGAGGGCACATTTAGTATGAAAGGAAGTAGCATAGTATGTGATGGCACATGTAGTATGAGATGAAGCAGCATAGTGTGTGATGGCACATTTAGTATGAGAGGAAGCAGTTTAGTTTGTGATGGCATATATAGTATACTATGAAGCAGTACTGTTCTCGATGGCACCTTAAATATGAGATGAAGCAGCATAGTGTGTGATGGCACATTTAGTATGAGATGAAGCAGCATAGTGTGTGGTGGCATATCTAGTATGAGATGAAGCAGCTTAGTGTGTGATGGCACATTTAGTATGAGATGAAGCAGTTTTGTGTGTGATGGCGTATTTAGTATACGATGAAGCAATGTGGTTCTTGATGGCACCTTAAATATGAGATGAAGCAGCATAGTGTGTGATGGCACATTTAGTATGAGATGAAGCAGCATAGTGTGTGATGGCATATCTAGTATGAGACGACGCGTCAAAGTGTGTGATGGCACATTTAGTATGAGATGAAGCAGCTTAGTGTGTGATGGCACATTTAGTATGAGATGAAGCAGCTTAGTGTGTGATGGCACATTTAATATGAGATGAAGCAGCTTAGTGTGTAATGGCATATTAAGTATTAGATGAAGCAGCATAGTGTGTGGTGGCATATCTAGTATGAGACGACGCGTCAAAGTGTGTGATGGCACATTTAGTATGAGATGAAGCAGCTTAGTGTGTGATGGCACATTTAGTATGAGATGAAGCAGCTTAGTGTGTGATGGCACATTTAGTATGAGATGAAGCAGCTTCGTGTGTAATGGCATATTAAGTATGAGATGAAGCAGCATAGTGTGTGATGGCATATCTAGTATGAGGCGACGTGTCACATTGTATGAAGTCACATTTAGTATGAGATGAAGCACCGTCGTGTGTTGTGTCATATCTAGTATGAGCAATGTTCAGTCTAGCATTTCTCAAAAGTTATGTCATGGCCCACCAGCCCTTAGTTATCGTCATTTGGAAAAGATTGGATTGTCGGTCATGTCAAATAGGTGTCTTCTTGTTTTTCAAAGACGTACTTGAGTTTTGCTTGAGTTGCCAAGCATGACCAGTTTATAGATGACTGGCAGTTTCAAGTTCGCGTGAGTTCTACCCTGTCTCATCACTATAATCAGGACCAGGGTGTCTCACAAGGCAGTATTTTGTCTGTCACTTCAGTTAGCATAAACTCAAAAGTTTAACAAATGTTTTCAATGATTCAGTTGGTGGATCACTGATTTTAATATTTCTTGTCGTGTCAAAAGTATGCATCTATTGAAAGGCAACTGCAGCTTCGTTTAAACGGAAGGTGGTGCTTGGAAAATGGATTTCAATTTTCAAACTCCAAAACTAATGGTTTCCATTTTTGCCGAAAATGTAAACCTCACAAAGACCCAGAATTATATTTAGATACCACACCTACTAAGGTAGTGAGAGAAACGAAATTCTTAGGTCTAGTTTTTGATGAGCATTTGACCTTTCGACCCAAAGGCAAAATGTCGTGGCGTATATGGGCAAGCTGACAGAAAGTTCCGGTACTGTTATTATTATTATTGTCGATGTTATTTGAATAAATTGACTATTCCCCTGATTATAGGTCACGGTTAACAACCCCAGCATGCGTCTAGAAAATCCGAAATTTGAAAAGTAAAATTTCAGTATGAAGAATTGTCTTTCTTTTTCTTTTCTTTTTTGCCTATAGCAATCTATTGAAACTTTACCAGAAGAAACTTGGAGGTACGTCTGTAATAGGCAATCGTCGTGTGTGCCGCATATTTAGTTGAAGAGCAAGTATCATAATGTTTGGCAATATATCTGGAATGAGATGAAGAAGCACATTGTGTGATGGCATATTTAGTATGAGATGAAGCAGCATAGTGTGTGATGGCATATTTAGTCTGAGATGAAGCAGCATAGTGTGTGATGACACATTTAGTCTGAGATGAAGCAGCATAGTGTGTGATGGCACATTTAGTATGAAAGGAAGTAGCATTCTTAGGTCTAGTTTTTGATGAGCATTTGACCTTTCGACTCAATGTTATATATTTAAAAAACACATTCCTGAATTTGCTGAGAGTTGTCTATAATACAAAGTGGGGAGGGGATCAGAAAACCTGTACTAATACAGATCATGATCCGATCAAAGCTTGATTACGGCTCCATCGTATATGGTGGAGCCTGTAAAGGCAACTTATTCGATTTTGCCTATCACCAAGGTCTAAGACTATATATTGAATCCTTTGGGACCTCTCCTGTTGATAGTCTCTATGTCCAGGCTGACGAACCATCTCTTGAACAACGCCGGATAACACTACCTGTACAATATATTACAAAACTATTTTCAAATGACTCTAACCCCGCGTATAGCTGAATTGTTAATCCCCTTTGTGACGTTCTGTACAATAAGAAATGTTCTTTAATTCCGCCTATAGAATTAAGGTTTAAACCTTTCTTTATTGTTGCCAATATCAACCTTGAAAATCTATCCCCTTTCCGCTTTCATCCTTCTCCTCCTTGGCAGTTGGTAAGACCGCAAGTATATCTCACGTTAACAAACCTCAAGAAAACAGAAACCAACTAACAAATATACCAACAAGAATACAATCCATTAAGAAACACATATGATGGCTACAAATCAATATCTACAAATGGATCCAAGGATTGTGTCGCAGTTGCCAGTGCCTCTGTCAATGGATCTATAATAATATCTTCTCGATTACCAGATCACAGTTCTGTTTTCACAACGTTAGAGGCAGAATATGATGGATTGGAATGGCGTTTAGTAACATGCTGCAGTGTCAGTTCTATTCGTTCTAAATGCGCCTAAACATAGTTTAAGACTATGGTGTCAAGGTCATGACTGTAGGATTTACGGGCTGAACCATGTATGACAAAACAGTCATAATCAAACTTAGAGCTAATGAATGTTCTAAAGAGATGGAGCAGAGTTTGTTGCTTTCCACCCCATTTAGCATTTGAACCTGTTCTTATGATATCATTTAAACATTTATGATTTGCAACAAGAGGGATAAAAGAGGTTTATTGTCAATGGTTATTCCTAAAAATGTGGTATCTTTGGCCACTTTTATGAGAGTTTTATCTGAAAGTAACATTTGGATCATGATGTATTTTGCACTTTCTACAAAAATGTGAATGCAACACGTTTTGGCTTGGAAAATGTTCATCCGTTTTCCAGTGACTACTTGAGCATTTTGTTGTGACATAGTTGCAATTGTCTCTCAATAGTGTTCATCTTTATGCCATTTAGATTAAAGTCATCAACAAACAACGATCCATCAATATTGTCATTCAAAACCTTCTCAAGGCTATTTATTTTAACACTAACAAGAAGCCAAAGTCACCAGTATACCCGCAATGGTACAATACTCTTCATGAATATGTCAACTAGTTATGACTATGTCAAATGTACAGTTTGATGTACCTCAGTTATGTTGATAGTGGTACTGTTGAGTCATGTCATTAGGTTCTTGGGTGCCCACAAAGTGGAAAGAAAGTATTGAAGGGTTTTAAAGTTCTGCTCAGGAAAGGAGCTTAAACACATATTTCAGTAAAAGTCAAACGTGTTGCCTTGGAAACACAGAAATAATTTATTCAGAAATCAAAAACTATAAAAAGGCACCAGTTCGCTACCAGACCAAACTATGTGCCAAGTTTGGTGAAGAAACAGCCCACGGTTTTTAAGTACTCCTCCGGAAAATAGCACCAGCACCAATTTCAGTCGAGGTGAAACTTGTTGCCATGGAAACGCAATTTTTAAAATTTTATTCAGAAATCCAAAACTACCAAAAGGTACCAGTTCACCATCAGACATATATGTGTGCCAGGTTTGGTGAAGCAATATTTGACGGTTTTAAGTTTTGCTTCGGAAAAGAAGAATTTGCACGGCGGACGGAGTCCAAAAGAATAGCCACCTGCAAAACGTGTTGCGGGAGATTAAAAGAGTAACTGACACAATCCTATCTTGATGGACTTCCATGTCCTGATCATATACATCACAAAATGTGGAGCCTGTACTGACTATAAAGGTCCTGTCCTCTACCAATCGTGCAATTCAATCAGGCATACGGCCTCGAAGATCCATAGCATGCAGGTCATTCCTGATAACATACTTCCAAGTCGTATCATACGCCTTCTCCAAGTCCAAGCATATTGATACAACATGTTGTTCGTTAATAAAACCATTTCGGACATACGATTCCAATCTCACAGAATGGTCATTAGTGCTCATCTGTTGTCTAAAACCAGATTAAATTATTTGATACCAGGTTCCAGACAAAGCGCCCATTGATCATTCGCTCCATACTTTTAGTAGTGCTGGTATTGGCATACAACCTGCGATACGATTCATCACGATACTAAACTTTTAGTCACGACGATATATTGCCAAAGTATTGTGCACTAGTACTGGAGTTGCGATACGATACGATACGAATCCCGATATAAGGGTGGCGATACGATACCAACTATATAAAACGCCTTAAGATCAAACAAAACCATTTTTAAGTATATTTTGTCAAATTCCGCCAGCGTGTTTCAATGTTCATTCGGAAACGATATAATTTAAGTTTAAACATGGACATTGTGAATGTTAATAACATGTGAGCGCTATGTCTGACACAGTTCTTGACGCAAAAAGTTCCAAGAAAACGTTTACTTATGAAGGGAAAATAACTAAGCATATATTTTAATCATCAAGCAAAAGTAAGTCTTTTTTCTTGAAAGATATCGCGATTCGGCAATATTCAAAGTTATACATCGATGTATCGTGGCCCATTTGAAGTATCGTATCGGGATATACAACAATGTAAACTGTATCGGCGGCCCATGTATCGATGCGTTTCGATGAATGGTCACACCACTAACTTTTAGACATATAGCTAGTTAACGTTATTCGTCGATAGGTGGATGGATTGCTATGATCCTTGCCTGGGCCCACTTGCCCAAAACAATCTTAGGCTCCGGCTACACATATAATCATTTATTTTTTTTATTTTGTTAAAATCGTATGAATCGCCTCGACACTTCAACTACACGGAGAAGGCACCGTAGATTTAACTTCAGAAACACCGTTTGTAATGAGCCACATAACTAGCGAGCCGATATCTAGAAGTACTTTTCCCACATATTTCAATGTCGGAAGAAATGTGAAACACCGTACCTTTTCGATAATCAAGGAAAAGATAATAACGAACGTTTTCCCTTTTCATAATATGAACGTTGCCGTAGAGTCTGCCTCGCTCAATGGTTTTAACGTTTTAACATCGCAGAACTCGTAAATCATAGCAGTTTGAATGTAGCAAAATATGTGCTATCTTACCAGCAATCGTGTCCTTCAAATATTTGTGGAACATTTCATAAAATATCTGCAAGGTGCGATGGAGGGAGATATTTGTTGTTTGCTTGCAACCGGTTCCACTTTTAGTTTTCTCTGCATGTTATGCGCTCTTGCAGACACTGTAAACAGGAGTCGAGTTTAAGAAAGTCGTACCTCCACCGTTCGATGTTAGCTGAGATCGCGACATTTTATTCATACCGTCATACAATCACACTAAGATCGGTTTTTTGCAAGTGGAGCAGGGAAATTGTATGGTGATTGTAAAGTGGATTGTGGGGGCCTATGGACGATTGCAACTAAGATTATTCTGTGCAAATGGGTCCTGGTTTGAGGATAGGAATGATAATAGCTTCGTGCCAGGAAGGAAGGAAATTCACCGTTTCCCAAATATATATATATATATATATATATATAGCAAAGCTAATTGAAAAGATTCTGGAAGAAGCTTCAATAATTGATAATGGATGTCATCGTGAGCCTTGTGTTTACGCCTTCTGTCAAGGAAGAAGATTTCTAATAGTCTTCTTTACTTTTAATGGCAGTTTTGAAACCATGGCCAAACTTCTTACGGTTCAAATAGCATGTAAGTCATGTGATGAAAAGATCCATACGTATTTCAAAATGTCAAACTTCAATAAAAATTGGTAGTATCGGGAGTCAAGAAGTCAATCGATATGTGTTACTTACTTACTTCGGTCTCTATCTCGTATTGGACCTTTGGAGAAATTTAGGGTTTTGTGAGCAGAACGGGTAATTGTAATATCAACCAGTTTTGTTGAGGTCATAAAATTAATTAGCTTGAGACTTCCTGGCACATTCAACCAAAAGTCCTCTATTTACATCTTTTAAATATCACCGGCTTACCTTTTAGTCCTTTCTCCTAAATAAATGGTGATTATGAAGTAAGGGTACATGTACCTTCACCCTTTGCTTCAATGACAAGAAAACGAGGTCACGGATCCACCTCAGAATAGAGTAACGTGGTAGAAGAAGAATCAGAAGAAGAATCAAGTTCCGAATCTGATTCTGACAGTTGCCCTTTTGGTTTTCTTTTTATTAAGTTTACCCATGGTTGTAAATATTGTGGTTCAGCAACCCTGCTTCCTGCCCGCCACGGAGCGTCAACAAGGGTGATGTCATATGTAAGTGGTATTCCAACAAGCCGACACCAAAGGGATAGCGGAATGTTATACTCTAGTTGATCCAGAGGATCATCAAGATTGGCCCATTAGCCACCGCCTTCTGGGCACAGTTTATTACTTCCAGGCAAGTTCATTAAACACCTATATGAAGAGACGACTAGTATTCAAAGGAGAGTTGAAGTTGAAGTAAGGGGCGAAATGGTGTTGGGCAAAGAAAAGTACATGTAAGTTGTTGTTTTTTCTGTAAACATGTGTTCTATATTTACAGATTTGCAGAAGTCCAATCTGTGGTCGACCATCCCAAACACTCCTACATGCACAAAGAAGATGCATCCATGTAAGGCTACATACAAAGTATTCGTATCTTTAGATACACCTATCTGAATATGTTCATATAACACATTCTTTAAACGGAAGGATACCATTCCCCAACGCGTTATTCAGAATCTAATTGCCGCCATATGTAGCCGTCTTGAATCTGTATTCAATGGTCGTGGTGGTCACAACAGATACTGACATGTTGTTTTTGCCCAGTATATATTTTATGTTGTTGAGTCAGTTCACAGATAATGCTGTCTCTGAAATATGTAAAGTTATCCAGTTACGGTGTTATGTTTCAACATTCACTTTATTTATTGACACATAAAACCTATTAACCTCTCATAAGAATACTTTCAATAAAATGTTGAAATACGGAAGATGAATTCTATTGCAACATTCATAACTTCGTTCACTTAAACCAGAAACCAGACAAAACGCTTCCCAAAGCCCCAATGCATCCATTCAGCGATTCCTACTCGACAATATTCTCAAGAAATGGAAATGGTAATACCAAATATTAGAGCGAAGACAGGTGTTAATGATGAATGCCAAATGCAATAATTTTCATGCATGCAAACCTAAACACCCTTGCAGCGTGTCATTTGTGATTTTCAAGGAAGTTCAAGGGGTATCAGTATATATCAGTGACATCAGTAAACCATTTGTGTAAGTGTTATTGATTCTGCTCATCACAAATGTCAACCTGATATGCCATGTCAGATTTGGCGGTGGATAACTGCAGGTGTGCGGTGGCATTGTGTACAGTTATTCTGACCTACAAAATATTAAATGCAATACTAGTTTGTACTCCAATTCATTTATCCCTGACACGGTAAACATATGGAACTCTCTCCCTCCGGATATGGTAAACGCCAATACTCCTGGGGAATTCAAAAACAAACTTAAAGAACACAACACCAGTGAAATCTACTTCAATCTTTCCCATGGTTCAAGATCATGCCAGATAATCCACTCCCGACTTCGGCTTGGGTGTAGCGATCTAAATGGAGATAAGTTTTCCAGATACATGTATATATGTATATATCTGATAGTCCTGTATGTAACTGCGGGTATCACACCGAAGATGCGCTTCATTTCTTCCTCATCTGCCCCATATTTAACGACATAATATCAAATGCATACTTCTTTAGTAGAGGATTTAATTTGTCATCAATCTTATTTGGTCATTCAGGCTCATCAGAACAAGTAAATCTGGAACTACTAAAAGCGGTACATAACTATATCATATCTTCCAAGGGATTCTCGCAATTTACCTAACCTAGTTTTATTGTACATGCTGTGCTTCTGGTTTATTTGCCTTCAATGAATGTTTGCAAATTGTAACACATTATATTGTGAATATTGTTCCTTGTAGATTCACATTATGTTTTGCACACAGCTCATGTGTACGTCACTATCATCATTGTTAATACTATTGTATCATTGTTAGGGAGCGGCATTGATATAAGCATGTTTTTCTATGCTTGTTTGCCAATCCCATCATGACTAAATGAATAAATATGTTCAAACCAGTTATTCACTCTTCACAACTTACTAACATGCACGTTTCTCAATAACGTAACTAAATTTGGTCGTAACATTATTCAAGTTTCATTTTGATGCCTTTTTATTTGCTTTTCAGCAACGTTATGTACCGATCCAGATTGTCGTCAGGATATACCAGAACAACCTGTAGTCAGACTCAAGAACGTTCTCAACTCCATGCGCTCAGAGGATTTGAAAACAGTAAAACGAATCAATCAGTTGAAGGAATTGCAAGTACAACACACAAGAAAACAGATTCTCTTCCTTACTGGATCATCATCTAACCACTTTATGGAATCCCAAGCAATGCTAAAGAACTTCCATGAAACCATCCCAGCAGTATTTAGTAATTATTCACTTAGATACTATGATCTTGGACTAACACAAGCAGAACGGGCACAGGTAAGTCAACCTAAACATCATGATAAGGACCGATGACTACCCCGAATAATAATTTTCTATGACACGATTCATTAAATACATACCCAGCACCTATTGTTTCCAGCTTGAATGACACAATTGTAGCAATAGCTTTGTAGGCATGTTACTATATATGGGGCATGGGTATCAATTTTTAAAAAAGTACAATAACTGGGTTTTTCTAAATGGGAGGTCGCCTGTAACAATGGGAAACATGGTTTATCAATGGTAACCCTTTGGAAACTGTTAATGCTTATAAATATTTAGAATTCATCATAACCCTAATATTGTTATGGTCTAGAGTTCGCATGTCGTTCTCAGAGCAAACAGGAAAAGCATTTATGTTCCTTTAAGATTGCTAATTAGGCGTTACATAGGTTATGTTTGACAAGACAGATTGTGCAGATTCTTAATGTGGACCTGAGATGTGGGGATTGTGAGTAAGAAACTGTACAGAAATTGGCCATGGTAAGTTATGTAAATTGGCAATAGTAAGTAATGTAAATATGTTCTTCCCCTAAGGTATATGATATCTAATGCAGTTACTTACGGGGATATTTTTTAGTTATTCTCTTCAGAGTAGTAACCATATTAAATGTATGAAGTAGTGTTAATTACGGTTATTAACACTTCAGTATCGTAGAAACCCTGATCGATGGTATAGTATGTTATGGCCTTTTTTGATCTCCCAGAGTTGGCCACTCAGGATAGATATTTACTTTTGCGATATGTTTTGGAGTTGTTAAGTTAAGGCAAGAAGTCTGAAAAGTAGTTGTTTTTATATTCGATTTTCCAACGTGTAAGAAAACGTGTTCACCAAAACTGGCACTCATTACTGGATAGCAATAATTTGCCATTCTATAAATCCAATAAACCCTTACTGTTCTGCAAAAGATATTTGATACGTATTAAACCACATGAACTAAGACGGTTGTTAACATCATACAGTTCTAATACTGCTGAAACAAATATCTGCTCATGATATAGTCACAATTATACAATCGACTCTGCTTTTGGCATAGATTTCTTAGGAATATGGAAAGGCTTTTGTCGCTTCTATTAATCAAGTATAGAAGTGAACGGTTAATTGGAAACTGTACGTTTGGTGGAAAAGGTGCATTGTCTGTATGTAAAAATTGTAAAGGAAGGACAGTGAGCAACGTGTACCTTTTTGTTCTCATGTTTGTTTGAATTTAATTATTGATTGTATCTTGTTATATCTAATGGAGCGGCACTTACATAAGCCGTTGAATTGTTGTGCCAATCCGCATTCATGTTATTTTATTTTATGAATAAACCCATTTACCGTCCACACTAAACTCCCACGTCTTGGTATGACTGAAAATCAAACCAACCATCTGACTGCTAGAAGCACTTGTTCCAGGTTGAGAAGCACTGCAAATGTGATGTGAAAATCTTCCCATTGCAAAAGTTGGACAAGTGGATGAGGCGGTTGGAATGTTATATTTGGAAACCCATAATAATACAGGTGAAAAGTTTGTGCATTCTTGGAATGCATAGTCTGTTTGGGGCACAGCTGATTGTACAAACATACTATAGATGGAATCACTGTTGTCATCGTAGTTGACACATCAGTCATTATCAAAAGTTTATTCTTGACCAGGTATGGTGACCTGCCTTCAGTTGTTGGCGATCTATAGTTTGTATCGTCCTCTATAGTATTTTAGATTTAATTACTAGTTTTAAATATATTATCTGTGATAGTCTAGTTGGTTTTACTCTCCTTTGTCAACATATATTTTAAATTGATTACCTTGTTTTCATATTGCCCATGCGATGTAAACTTTTCACTCACTCACTCATACTTGACCAACGAAGCAAACGTCAATATTTCCTCTCTTCAATTTAGACTGTTATGGTCTGTTATTGAATACATCAATTTCAACAAGTTTTCATTACTATACGGAACTTGCTGTAAAGGAAAATTACAACTTATCATGCAAACTAAGAAAGATCAGCTTTAATGGAGAATTGTCCCAAACAAAATTCGAAACTCCAACACCATAGAAATACCAGTCTCGATTATATGTGGAAACAAATTCCCGTTAGGCCTACAAGGCAAAAGTAATGATATCACTCGTTACACCATGTGCTCGAGAGATGCGAAATTCGAAACACATATGAATACGAATACGTGTACAACTTGTCTCTATTGATATCTGAACTGAAATGAGTCTGGTGACTTCCAGGCGAACATAAAGGCTGCTGACATTGTGGTATGGATGGACACTTCCATCAGGCTACCGACGGAAGGGTTGAAGGAAGCTGTGATGAACGTTCCTCTTCAGGGATTGACCATCGGTGGGTGGGGAGGACGAGCCCCTACATTTATTGACACAAGGATGATAAACTACTTCAATACCACAGCGTGTATATATGCGCCATTCACCATGGTGGAAGCCAATTTCATGATGTTTCATAATGAAGAGTTTGTGAGAGATGCCATAATTGCTCCTTGGATGGCATGTGCTGTAAATCATAATTGTATGTGTCCTGATAAATCCATTCTTTATTGTAATTATAGTCAGAACAAGTATGGCATTTGCCATAGATATGACCAAGCTGCAATCAATGTAATTGCTATGCAGTTGTTTGGAAAGCATATCGAGAGTTTACAAGCAAAAGGTCTTAAGAGCGAAGTTAAAAGAGGTGATTCTTTTGCATATTTCAAATATTTAGATTCACAGTCGAAACAAAAGGGTACCTGACAAGTGAACGTGCCAGAAAGCGTCCATAATACTCTTCCCAATCGATCAGGGAAAATACCCCCAAATCTTTCACCCCCATTTTAGTGACACTTTGTCTGATTGGAAGATCTACTCCCACTTTGCCCGCAGATAATCCGACCATAGTTAACGAATATCGGATCATAATTAACACCCTAATTAGTGAGGTAATGGCTGACCGGATATAACCAGTGTTGGAGCCTCGTGACCCATGAACAGTGTTCACCACTTGCAAAACAAGTTTAGTCACTCACCAGTGTTCACAATTTGCAGCTTTCTTTGTAAGTGATGAACACTGTAGAACTGTCCTAATAAAAACTCAATTATCAATTATTAATTTCTTAGATAAACTGAGAGGTGAACTCTCTTCACAGTACACAGCCTATACATATTAAACCACTGCCATCTGTCAGAGTTCCTTGTCAATCTGAATCAACTTGTGAAGACTGACCACAGACCTGTACCAATAATCTATCAAGAAGAAATTACCATTGAGTATTTCAGCATTGCACACATTTCCTCCTAAAATACATCCAAAGACAATTGAATCTAAAGTAACTGGATTTGTCAAAACTATCATTTTTTTAAATTCTAAATCCTCTTGCTGATTTTGTCATTTCATTTGTGTATATTTAGAATAATTTATTGAATTTCCATCTGATTAATAAAATGATTCCGTTAAGGAAATTTTATAAAACGACATGATATGTTTCCAATTAAAGAAAGTGTATTTTTGAAATAATTTGTCGTAATAAACATATATATTTGTACACATATTATATCATTTATCATGTGTATTTTATAATATTTGTACTTTATTTTTGTATAATGACATATATGGTATAAGCTGGCAAAGAGGAGAACTAACTTGAGTTTTAATCCCCCACTAATCCCCTTTGTTGCATCATTAACTTAAATTAATTGGTAGACAAAAGTGCGGACAAAGTGACAGATAATCCTCTTATAATTTCTGTGGATGAAAAAGGCTTATTTAAGGTGTATGCTTCTCTCGAGGGTAATACGGTCTGATGTACGCCTCTTTGTAGCAGCGTCACCCGAGCCGGAAGGCGTACATCAGATCTCGGGTAAAACGACCTCGTGGGAAGCATATAGTCTGTCTCACAGTCCCTGAACCACATTATTTTCCTTACTGCCAAGCCTTATCTGCAGTGCTAAAGCCCTCCGGTCCAGGTGAATCTCTGGTCACCCTGGAACTACTTTTCAATTTTAACGGGCTTGTTTGTTACTATTAAAAATTATATATATTCAGAGACTAAGCGTCAGACTAGAGAAGCATACAACCTATTAAGTCCTGCCCCACAACGAAGCACATGTGACACATGTGGTCTCACCATAGGCAAGTGAGTTTGTTCAAAATTGTCTCTGTTCACCCAGCAGGAAAATGAGTACCCGGTGGAAAAGGTCATATGACTATAACCTTCTAGCGCCTAACAGGCAGCTTGGGTTATCCGGGTAATAGTACTAGTGTGCTGTGCCTTGATTGTTAGCGCTATGAGCATACCTAGTGTGGAGTTTGGCGCTAATGGACACATTATTATTTATTATTATCTTACCGCCATGTTAAGTGTACAAAATATCTTCTTTTTTTTATTTTGAAGATAGCTCCTGACTATATGACATGTAAACAAAAAAGAGTCTGTCTCTCGACTGGATTTTTTAAATCAGTGAAACATATTCTGACAAGCTTCAAACTGCTATAAAAATGGTTAATTATGTGTGCAAACGATTCAATGTATACAATAGTTTACTAAAGCAGTGAATGTCGGTAAAATAAATGTGTACATGGTGAAGTCAAAAACAGCTAATCGAACGGTTTTCGAACTCCGTGCACTGCCTGCGTCATATTATGACGTCATACGATTGTTAGCGATACAGCTTCTCGGCGGAGAGCTTGGCGGTTACCGTAGCAGCGGGTAATATTTTTTTATTGTTATTATTTTTAATGCATTTTAAATATTGATAATATTCTTTTTTAAGGTGTCATTACATCCTTTCGAGCCCTGGTGTTTATATTTTATATGCAGCACTATGCTGCCTCATAGTTTGTAACGCATGTCACTATAATAAACCACTGCTTTTATTCTTGCTATTATTTTTTTTTTACAGATTAAAGATAGTATGCAGCAGAGAGGGTTCGGGTGATCCTGGCACAGTCAGGCTGGTAAGGATCATCATCAGCTCAGGGTCCTCGCCCCCTCTACACGCAGCCCAGACAGTGAATGGGACTTCTCCCAGGAACACTGCCTAGTCGAACCCACCAAGAATATGTAGACACTGCAGCCTTCTGCATTACCCAGAGTGTCAGAAAGGTTGTGCTCCCGGTTGAGAACCCGGGCACTCTCCTCATCTGCGCCAAGAGATCAGAAGGTATCAAACCAAGGGCACCGAGAACAATGGGGAGCCTGACGACAGTGTACTTGGGATGCAAGCGAGGTCCTCATATTTATCATGCTTTTCCTGAATCATGTCAATCACATTGCTGCCAAAAGGGACAGATAATTCAATGATATAATTCAATTCATTGGCTTTATCAAAAAGGACAACATCAGGTTTGTAGCAGGAACTCATCTGAGGCTGTATATGGGCCTATTCCACAGAAGTTTGAAAGCATCATTTTCCATGACACTCTGGACATGTTCAGAGTCGTACTATGGATGGACCTCGGAGTCAAAGCCACAGACATGGCCACAGCAACGAGCCATGCCATCATGTCGTTTAAGATATGCTGTTTGTGCCAATGAAGAACATCCACTGACAAGGTGTTTGACAGTATCTGTAAATTCATTACATAGTCGACATATCATATTGATATTTTGTTTAAGAATAACATTTTGACGATTACGAGTGGGAAGTGACTGGTCCTGAGCAGCAAAAAGAAAGCCCTCAGTTTCACATTTAAGACCAGCCGACTTCATCCAGGCGAAGGAGTTGGTTGGATTGCTATTCTGTTCCACACACTGCATGTACTCACGATGCAGTGACTTTTCAGAAAGTTTCTCCACAAATGACCGTCTCTGGGCAGACTTGGTGAAGGACTTCACCTGGTTTACACCCATCGCTGTACCGTCCAGCAGTACATCGCCATCAACAAAATCAACCTCAAATTTCAGATTTTGTCCATCAACCTTGGCACGCTTAAGATAGCTGTGGATTTCCTTGCTTTCATCATGAGTCTTGATGTGCATCACCAGAGGATCATCCGATAAATAAATATGTGCCAAAGTACACAAAAGAATTCTATCATGAAGAGCCTCCACATTAGTCAAACCCCGACCTCCAGATCTGATTGGCATGTATAAATGATTAAGAGAGGAGCGAGGGTTGTGGGCTCCGTTATCAGATATGATCCTTCTGGTCAGGCGGTCAAGACTCTGGATGTCCGACAAAATATTTTCTGTCACTAGAAAATAGAAACTTTTTAAACAAAGCAATATATAAACTTGAAAACAGTCAAAAGGAAACCCTTACCAATAAGAAGATCTTATAACTGAAACTAAATCGTTTTATCATAATCTATACACACACAAAAAAAGCGAAAAAGTGAATCTAACAGAATTGTTTAAAAACATGACGTCCCAAAGCTATCAAAAAATTAACAAGAAAATTTAGAAGAACAATTAAGATATGAAGAAATATTAAACAGTCTTAAAAATGAAAAATGAAAAAAAGGTCCTGGCTCATCGGGTTTCACCATTGAATTCTTCAAATTCTTTTGGTCGAATATTCACGAGTATCTTATCAGATCATTAGATTTAGCTTACGAGAAAGGAGAATTGTCTTTGACTCAAAAGCAAGGCATTATAACCTGTTTTCAAAAAAAAGGTAAATCCAAACGTTTGCTTCAGAATTGGAGACCCATTTCATTGCTGAATGTAGCGTATAAAATCGGATCATCAGCCATTGCAAACAGAATAAAAACAGTCCTACCCTCTATAATAAATGAGGATCAAAAAGGGTTTATGTCAAAACGATATATTGGTGAATGTACTCGCCTAATATACGACATCATTGACTATACTGAATATATGAATATACCAGGAATTCTACTTCTTATTTACTTTGAAAAGACATTCAATTCTGTTGACTGGCATTTTATTCAAAAAGTTCTTCTATTCTTTAACTTTGGACCATCGATTACTAGATGGATAAATACCTTCTTTAATAACATTCAATCGTGTGTAGTTGTAAATGGCTTCTTTTTAAATTATTTCAATATCTCAAGAGGATGCAGACAAGGAGATCCCATCTCCCCTTACATGTTTATACTGTGCGCAGAAAGTTTGGCAACAATGGTTAGAGATAATAATAAAATAAAAGGAATTCAAATTGGAGATACAGAATACCTAATTTCCCAATACGCTGATGATACTTCACTAATACTAGATGGCACTGAAAAATGTTTGCAGGCGACATTAGAAATTCTTAGTAAATATGCCTCATTTTCAGGCTTAATAATAAATGTAAAAAAAACACAGGTATTATGGATAGGCTCAGAAAAAAACTCAAAAAGAATTTTTTTGTAGAAACTGGAATCTAGACTGGAAGAATGACTCGTTCACACCACTAGGAATTGTATTTACTCGCAACATCGCAGAAATGGTTGAACGCAACTATAAAGATAAACCTAAGACTCTCAAAATATCAATGAATCAATGGTTATCAAGAGATAGGTATCCCTTATCCCTTAGGTAGAAATACCATATTGAAAAGTTTACTTTTACCGCAAATTAATCATATATTTGTAACTCTACCCAACCCAAATGATTAAGGAAATTGAGCAGCTCTGCTATAAATGTATGTGGAAAAACAAACCGGACAAAGTCAGTCGAGAAACTATCACAAAGAATTATGAATACGGTGGAATACGAGCCCCAGAGATAATAAATCAATCACAAAAAAATGGATTAAAAGACTCACCAACTCAGATTTAAAAGTAAGGAAATTGCTACAAACAAAGACACATTGCTACATCGACAGCTTTATACAAACATGCGAAATCAGTAATAACACAAGAAACAAATAACTTTTGGAAAGACACTTTGAAATCATGGGGTAAATTCGTAACCAGAAAAGCAGAAAACGCAAAAAATGCATGTGATATCCTATATCAACCCTTATGGTTAAATGGCAATATTAAGATAGATGGAAAACCAATCAGTTATAAACATTACTCAAGTAAAGGGATTACTTATGTAAACGACATGTTTGATGCCCAAGGTAACTTTTTGACGGTGGAACAATTACAAAAATCGTTTTGGTGCAAAACTAACTTCCTAGAGCGTCAAGGAATAAGATAATCAATTAAATACTACTGCAAATCCATAAACGTCTATATTGAAGAGAAAATCGTATCTCCGATTTTGCCCTATCTTCTACGAAATATAGTAGGAAACCCAAATGGATGTAGAGATATTTATGACATACTCATAAATGGAAAATCTAGAAAACCTTTAACATACCGAAACAAGTGGCAAAAAGAACTTAATGAGTCTATTGACGATAAGATATGGGAAACGATAGAAAAAACAACCTTTAAATCGTATAATAGTGTAAAACACTCTTGGTCTCGATACAGCATACCGCATAGGTTTCTGCCAACAAATGATTTGCTAACAAAAATTAAATATAAAGATTCTAACACATGCACATTTTGCAAATCCGAGAAAGAATGAATTTTACATCTATTTTGTGACTGTAAAGTCATAAAAACTATTTGGAAGAAAATAGAAGAATGGATATTCGAAATGGGAAGAAATTCAGGGGAG